AAGCGGTTCCGATATTTACCTGTAGTTAATAATTTGAGCGAGTAAGCTATGTTTATTTTGTAGTAGATACCCGCAAAAACGACATGTGCTTTCTTCTTCCTTCTCGGCCTTCTTCCCATTCTCTTTTGAATATGGCCCACACATTCCACTCTTCGCAATGCCACCTCATCTCCGTAACGCTTTGATTTGACCCCATCCCGATGAGAAGAGCAATTGCCATCGCCTACAAAGTCCACATAACGCGAACTGTGCTTCTCAGTGGACCTCCCCATACATCTACAGCACCTAGGGCCTCCATGGCTTTTGATGACTTGTCAAAGTTAGCTGTGCATTTTGGCTCATGTAACTCCATCCAGTCAATGTATTCCTGAGAGTTCACATCTAGGTTGGTCTTTCCACGACACAGTTTGAAAAGCAGTTTGAAAATTACTTAACTATCATGTAGGTATTTTCGAAATCGCTTATTTTCCTGATTTTCTGGAAAGTCTGTAGCACACTTTTCATTTCAAAGTCAACAACTTTTCCTGTTTCCGCATCAATAGCAGAACCCATTCCATACAAGGACTGAAAACCTCCTCTGGCCCAGTTGTCATCACAAGACACAGCATTCTCAAAGTCATTAATAATACATAAAGTTTAAACAAAGGAAATCATGACCGTAACGGTGTTTGAATATCTGATCTTAATTAGCATAGATTGTTATGATCATATTTCTCCGTTTTCTCCTTAGTTTTAGTTTCGATTGAGAAAATATCTCAAACACTTAAGACAGTGTTTTGCCATATTTCCAAACACCTCGAAGTCCGTCGATAAAACTCCGCTACGCGTCGTATTTCAACTCTCTTCTCGGTGTTTAATTTAGAGATGATGATTAATAATGCCTCTTTGGTTTTGTTTTGATATTTATATCTTTGTTTTAGAAGGTTGCTGGTGCTATAAACTTACTGTATTGACAAATTTTTTATTCGTACTGATTACAAAACAGTTACCAATGATTGCTTCGTTAACAACCTTCTTAATAACTCTTTCAAAACTCGTTGAAAGTTTTCCGACATTCTAATTTTTTAATAATTTTAGCGCGGGGAGTATTTTTATCTTATTAGTTTTGAGCGGTTTTGTAGTTTGAAAAGAACCTCTCGATGTTGCTAATATGCGGCAGCCTTTTTTAGTTTTTTGTTCGTACGTGTTTGTTATTAGCGTTTTAGTGAAAGCGCGCAATATGTCCATGCTTTTAAGGCAAGTTGAACAAATATGTGAGGGAAAAATGAGACAATAAAACAATGAAACTGGTTTCTATGTTTTGTTTTAAAATTTTTGCGGGATTTTTAACTGAGACCGGCTAAAATTTAATTCATGAATACAACTTGCCGTTTTATCCCACTAATATATATGGGTGTGCAGCTTTTAATTTTGGGGGAAAATAAGATGTCGAAACAGATTAGCTTTGAAAAAGGAACTGAAGGCAGTTTCTTATAAAATGTTTGCTGAATTACCAGTCTAGTTTTAACAAATTTCTGCCACTTTTTGTTCTTCGCCAAACTGAAAGTTGGCGGCGTAAAACAACATTCGGCTACATGCCAACATATGTTACCTTGCGTGAAACAACTGCATCGATACTGACGACTTAAACAAAACATTTAACTATAAATATTTCTATTTATTTAAGGACTGCGCTCTCAACAGGTTTTTCTCAAAAATTGTTTTGAAACTGAAGCGTTGTTTTCAGAGCGTTTTCGACGTTCACCTGTAGTCAATAATATGAGCGCGAAAGCGAAAGTATATTTTGAGTAGTTATGAGCATATGTGAGTTTTTTATTGAAAATAAAAATATTTACAGATCTCCTGACATTGAAGATAGACTCAGTCAATCTTGGCGGACTTGTTTTTAACAGCGGTTTTATATTTGTAAGTTCTTTTCTTTTTTGCTCAGGAGTACGAGTAGAACATTTTCATTGTCTTTCCAAAGCAATTAGGTAGCCGTTCCCCGCTCCATTCATTTTAATTTCGAGAAACATATACCATAGAATTCCGAAAGTAATGTTCTCCCTGAAAATAACGACTCGCGGAAAAAACATTCCTATTGAACCCCAAAAGCAATGGTCCTCTGCGAGACTCTCGTTTTCGTTTTTGGCTTTCCTATGACGTTGTGGAAAATTCTCAAATCAAAACTAATGATACTCAAAAACCTTTCTATATGATTCGGCTGAGTCTTGGTTGTACAATGTTCCTAGATGTCTATATATATTTGTTATACGTCAGGCTGATTTCCAAGTCAGTTGATATCGTTCACTTTATCACGGAACAAGTGCAGAAATGGTCAAGCCTAGATAGGTGAGCAAGAGATTTGAGTTGTTTGATGTAAAATACAGTTCAATCATCTGTTGTCAAGTGTAAACTATCAAGCATGAATGAGTCGATTAAGTAGACCGTTACGCGCTCGTGAAAACAATTTTTAGAGTATCTCATCAGTGCTATAATAACTCCATTTGTTCATGTCACAGAACAAAAGATACTTAGAAACTGGTGAAGAGGTTAAAGCCACTGGTATTTAGAGCAGCTACTATCAAACGCAGAGAGACCGGCTCGGTGAGTGAGGCCGAATTTGGCTTAATGTCTACAATTTATGCTACGCACCTCTTTACATTATTCAAAATATTGCTCTTTCTGTTCTTTTGAATACGCTAGTGAACTTTACGGGCAAATAAAATGGCTATCTCTTATTTAATTTGCCACGTTTATGACATTTGGTCATATTTGCTTCTGTGACAACATTTGTAACTCTTCAAATGTTGTCAGAGAATGTTGATTTACGAAAAAATAAATTCCTTCTGACTATACAAAGTAATTGAAAACTACGGGCGCTGCTATGAAAAGCACAGTGAAAATACTTATTTGTACTTGTTTTGATGAGAGTCGTTTTTTGTTAAAAGTGAGACCGACTGCTTAGTCAGTGGTATGTGTAAAGTACTCACGATAAATTGATTTATTTAAGGCTGTGTTTACAAACACAGCCTTGCCGGCGAATTAACAGGTTGTGCTTTTAAACACTAAAAGCTATATGCCAAGATATATTATCTTGTGTGAAAGAACTGTATCGATACTGACGATGAAAACAAAACATTTAAGGGTCCCTGTCCATAAATATGAAAAATAACTCGGCAAGGGTCGAAAATTCGATTTCCCTCATATTTTTACGGTAGATAGGCTAGGGCATGATAAAAAATACAGGATAATATTTTTGGGAAAATATCCTTTTATTTCAAAGAAATATGCAAATTACCAAATCCCATTAAAATCGTCATTAGACGTACCATTTTATTAAACAAGTTTGAGAGCCTCGCATGCAAAACCACATCATTCTTCCGTCTTTAAAACAGTCAAATATTTTTGTGCAATGTTTAAATGTGTACTGGATTGATTTTAGGGAATGCTGCGTTGTCTTTTTGGGTGCACAATAATTAAATTTCGAAG